GAGAGAGAGACATCGATTGGTTGCCTCCTGCATGCACCATGACCAGGGCTAGGGAACCTGCAACCAAGGTATGTGTCCTTGACCAGAATCAAACCCAGGACCCTTCATTCTACAGTCCAATGCTCTATCCACTGAGCCAAACCAGCTAGGGCAGAGAGGTGCTGTTGTTTTTTGAGAGGAGTTAGCACGTGCTACCCAAGGTGTCACCAGTGTGTGGAGACGCTGGAGGGCCTGACACAGCCCAAATGTTATGTAAAGATTGTAGGTGGTCTACACTTGCCTGGGGGTCCCCAGTTTTATTCCCTGGGTGTAAACTTAGTCTCAGTAGTCCTGTTTGCCCTAGGAACCCACCTGGGTGAGAGCTGACCAGCTTGGAGTTGGGGCCCATACATCCTTCTCCCAACCATGGTTCCTGAGTCAGCACTTACGTTATTATAAAGTTTGAGGGGTAAATGTGTCAATAATTTCTTGAGGAGAACATTAACAATTTGACAAATGACAACTGGACATTCCAGGCATCCTTTGGAGAAGTTATTGGTACAGATCACTAGTTTAAAAAGGGACACCAGTGATGGATGTGAACACTTTGGTTAATGGTATCAGTGCCAGCAGCAAGTAACTAAGCAATGAAGTGCATGTAAGTGTTCCTCCATCACTCTAGCCATCAAGGGAATCAGGTAGTGTTTCTATTGTGTAAGCCATTTTAGTCCATTCAGAAGGAATCAAGAACGTTTAGGAGGATCTGCTTAGAAGAAAAATTAATTCAGACTAAATTTTTCAGAATTGGTGCCTTCCCTGAAAACAGTGGTTGAGTATAGTCTATCCAGCCATGGGCAAACTACGTCCCGCGGGCTGGATCCGGCCCGTTTGAAATGAATAAAACTAAAAAAAAAAAAGACCGTACCCTTTTATGTAATGATGTTTACTTTGAATTTATATTAGTTCACACAAACACTCCATCCATGCTTTTGTTCCGGCCCTCCGGTCCAGTTTAAGAATCCATTGTGGCCCTCGAGTCAAAAAGTTTGCCCACCCCTGGGTTAGAGACATTCCAGAGAGGGGATTGAGAAGGACAGAGACTCTGAGGAGGAAGAAAGAGACGAGGTCACAATGGAATGGCTGTGCTAGTTTATGGCCACGGGAGAGATTAGAAAAACGGGCCTTCTCAAGAGGCTGCGTGTGTACTTGCTTTTTTTGTTTTGTTTATCTCCAAACAGATTTTAGCCTTTTGATTGCCTATTGTCTTTTTTGGGGGGAAAGCATTATGGAAAGTACGTGTTTTAGGAAGAAAGAGGCATAATTTAAGGAGCATGACAAAGACAAGCAATAAAATGTATTTTCTATTTTGCCTACCCTCCTAGGAGGCCATTATCAACATTAAATATTAATATCAATGTCTTGCCAGCTTGGTCACCTTTGATTCCTTGCTCTAAGAGAAAGAGGGGAGAAGGAAAGGGCCAGGGTTCTGTCTGTGAACACAGGGAGGTGGGCATGGGTATGGCGGAGTGCCTGAGTGGGGAGCCCCAGGGCACTGTGGCTGGAGGTGCTGCTGTGTACAGGACTCCTTACACTGGTGAAACAGGCCTTGCTTTCCATGAGCTCACAGGCTAGTAACTGAGAGGACTGGAGAGAACTATAAGGGCATGCAACTGTATAACCTGGCTATTACATTTTGGAGAACCTTTTACTCTATGAGAATATACAGATGAAAATATGAATTATTTTACAAAGGATTTCAAGATATTCATGAAAGAATGATTTGTAAGAAGATTATAAGGGGAAGTAGGGTATTTTTTTTTTTTACAGCAAATCTGGTAATGGTAGCTATTATCTGTTACCAGGCACTGTATTAGACAGTTTTCCACATTATTTAATATGATGCTCTAATACCATGAGATAATTGTTAGCTACATTTTACAAATGAGGAAACTGAAGCTTAGAGAAGTGAAATAACTTACCCAATTAATATACCTCAAGTAAGTGGAAATGGCATTAGATTCTGATTCCAGAGCTCACATTCTTAACAAACTATATTGCTTCCCTCTCTAGGGCAGCAGTCACCAACCGGTGGTCCGCGGACTACTGGTGGTCCATGAGGTCCAAAAGGTTGGCAACTGCTGGTTTAAGGAAACCTTTGGAGCAGTGGTCGCCAACCAGTGGTTGATGACCGCTGCTCTATGGTATATATAACTGCTCGAGGGTATATATAGAGACATATACTTTTCTTCTGTAGGACATACCTTAGAACCCTACAATCAATAATAGTAAGACAACCAATAGAAAAATGGAAAGAATAGGAAACCCAGATAGTCAATAAACATTTGAAAAGATGCGCACTCTCATCAGTGAACAATGAAATGAAAAGGAAAACTATAATGAGCACCATTTCACTTCCGCAAGAAGGGTCCAGGTAAAGGCCTGACAATTCCCAGTGTTGGTGAGGATGTGAATTACTGGACCTCCTACTTACTGCTGGTGAGATGTAAGCGGCACAGCTACTTCTGAAAATGGTGTGGTATTTCCCAGTAATACAATCTGCAGTCTAAGTTCTTGTCCAATGTAGGGCTCATCAATAAACCAATTACACTTAAATAATGTAACTGGTGATGGAATAGAGGGGAAAGCATCTGATCAAAATAATTCTGAGTACAAAATAATTCTGGCTGGTTTGGCTCAGTGGTAGAGCATTGGCCTACGAGCTAAAGGGTCCTGGGTTCAATTCCGGTCAAGGGCACATACCAATGGATGGGTCTCTCTCATCAATGTTTCTCTCTGTCTCTCCCCCTCCCTTCCACTCTCTCTAAAAGTCAATGGAAAAATATCCTTGGGTAAGGATTAACAAACAAAAAAAAGAGGATAATAAATATTTGAAGGTCTTGGTTTTAAAGGCATAGTATTAGCTATATTTTTATTACATGTTAGAAGTTGAGAAGTATAATATCTATTTTTAGCCCTAGCTGGTTTGGCTCAGTGGATAGAGCGTTGGCCGGCGGACTAAAGGGTCCTGGGTTTGATTCCAGTCAAGGGCACATGCCTGGGTTGCAGGATCGATCCCCAGTGTGGGGCGTGCAGGAGGCAGCTGATAATTATTCTCTCTCATCCATTGATGTTTCTCTCTCGCCCTTTCCCTTCCTCTCTGAAATCAATAAGAAATTATATTAACAAAACAAAATAAAAAATATTTATTTTTATATGTTCACTCAAGAAATAGAAATGTTAAGCTGTTTGAAAATAACCTTTGCTATATGTTACCTGAATTTAAATGTTATATACCCTCCGACTCATATTCTGCCATTCTGTTATGATACTGGTACCCAGACCCCAATCTTCGGATAATGTTAGTTAAAATTATTAGCTGTTGATACAAGCTGATTATTACTATAGGAGGTGTTTTTGAATGGCACCTATGAAATTAAACTGCTTTTAATAGATATCCCAAAATGAAGCACTCTGCACTAAATTTGCCAAACACAACTTCCCGAGGATATATTTATTTGGTGAATGTAGAAATATCTGAGCAGTGATGTAATTATCTCTGTCACACGTCCTCGTTCATAATTTACTAACCTATCAGGAGCACTTAAGGTGAACTGGGAAAGGATATGTCTGCCATCTTTAAGTGTTTTTCATAGAAATTTTAAGGTAATTTTGGCCATCAAGTTAGCATGCTGATTTATGCTGTTTTGCAGGGAAGGATAGCGGAGCTGGAGCTGCAGTTAAAACACGGAAAGGAGAGCGCTGAGGAGGTGCAGTTCAAAAAAGGCACAGCCTGGCTCTGGTAAGGGGGGTTCCATGACGTCACGGGAAGTGAACTGTGGGAAGGCAACTACTTTAAAGGCTTTAATGTTGGGGCTTTTAACTTCTGTATGAGCCTGAAGGGGGAAGGACTGAAGATCTGGTAACTGTATTTTTTCATCTCCTCACATATAAGGAGGAGAGCTTTATTCATAAATTGAATGGTTTTTATTGTTTTCTAAAGCAGTGTGGAAATGGTTTGCTTTTCCTTTTTCCCCTTAGAATGGATTATTTTTTTTGAATAAAAATTTCTGTTTTTCTCCACTTAATTCATTGCCCTTCTAACTCACATTTGGTCAAGAAATACCTTTGACTCACCTGCTCCTCCCTCTCCAAGACAGCTTCATTATCAGGAGCAACTTTAACACCCCCCCTAATGAATTCCCACTATGTTATCTAGAAATGTGTACATGCTGGCACATTAAAGGCAATTTAAATTGTTACATGGGTTGGGATAAATACCGTGTCAGATTAATGTTGCAGCAGCCTAAATCTAAATGCCCAGAATCTAAATAGCTTTGCCTGTAGCCACAGGTTTCTTTAATCTAAAAATCTATTCAAAGGTTACTGAATTTTAGATTTTTATTTACTGACAATTGGCATATGTAGAAAAGCAGAAGCTGAGTGTGTGTGTGTGTGTGTGTGTGTGTGTGTGTGTGTGTGACTAAATCTATTCTGTTTCATTTTCTAGATTTATTTTAGAAAACAGCAAAGCAGTTTAAAATGTATGACATTGGATTTATGGCTAGAGATTAAGAATTTGGATTTCGCTTTCTAATTGGTATTATCTTTCACATGTAGTTTTAATTTCATCTTCTGAAAATAAGCATTTGGTGCAGGTGGTATATTGGCTACACTTTTCAAAATAGAGAAAGAGATATGTGGCATGAAGAATGTAAGAAAACAATGGATGTCAAGGATAATTACAATATTCTAACTCTGAATAACTAAAAGCATGGAGTTCCCATCTACTAAGATGAGGAAGACAATAGAAAAGCAGGTCTATGTACAGAGGAATCAGGTTTGGGACTTGCTAAGCCTGAGCTACCAGCTGGAGATGTCAAGTAAGTTGTTGACCATGAGTCTAGAGTTCAGGGTAACGCCAGGGCTGGAGTACAGACTTGGGAATTAACAGCATATCATTCACCTAGGGAGTAACTGAGGACAGAAAGTCAGAGGACTGAGCCCAGAGCACTTCCACATTTAGAACTGGAGAAGGTGGAGGAGGAACTAATAAAGCAAACGGAAAATTAGTGACCAGTGGTGTAGGAAGAAAAAAAACCAAGAGCTCATGGGCTCTTAAAAGCCAAGGGCAGAAAGTGTTTCTCGAAAGGAGCGACCAATTGGGTCAAGTGCTGCTGTGAGTTGGCCAAAGATGGAGACCGAGAGCTGGCAATCAATTTGGCCTCTTGAAAATCATTGGTGGCCATGCCAGCGGCTGCCCTGGTGGAGTCGTGGGGACAAAGTCAGACTATAGAAGGGCCCAGAGAGAGTGGAAGGAGATGAACTTGAGTCAAGTACACACTTTTATATGAGTTCTGATGGATGAGAAGCAGAAAAATGGGACAGTGGTTGGAGGGCTTGTTCTTATTTTAAGATGATAGATATTTCAGTGTGTTCTCATGCTAAGGCAAGTAAAAGAAATAGGAAAGAAAAAATTGGTGATGCGGCAGAGAGAAGAGATAGGTAAAAGGAAGGAACTGGTCCACTTGTGGAAGGTTTGGCCCTACATGGAAGCAAGTATAAGCAAGTTATCATTTATAAATATTCCACATTGACCAATAAAAGAATACATTAACTGTACTATTCTCCATCTGGCCATACTGAGATTGGACAATTTAGAGAATTTGTCAAATGATTTTATAAAATACAAGTTAAAGATCTATAGGAGCAGTTTGCAACTAACTGAAAAACTTGGCTCTTAAAAATTACATTCTCAGTGCTGAATAGCTAAGATTTTATTAGATTTCAAATGAAAATATTTATGAATACAAATATAACTTATATTTGCAAAAGTCATAATATTTATAAAAACTTTGAATTGCTGAAACTCAATGAAAATGTCTGTATCCTGTTCAGAATGTGAATTTGGCAGTCAGTGGTTGTTTTTCATTTTATCTCAAGGCTCTTCTACTGACATTTTTAAAAATCCTCTGACTATTTGAATTGAGCATACCTTCCTTCATATTCACAAGTATAATTATTTTGTTTTAGCTTCAGAGTGATTTTATAACCTACTAGAGGCCCAGTGCACATAATTCGTGCACGGTCGGGGGGGTGGTTGTCCCTCAGCCCAGCTTGCACCCTCTCCAATCTGGTACCCCTCGAGGATGTCCAACTGCCCATTTAGGTGGGATCGGGCCTAAACGGGCAGTCAGACATCCCTCTCACAATCCAGGACTGCTGGCTCCCAACCGCTCGCCTACCTGCCAGCCTGATCACACCCTAACCACTCCCCTGCCAGCCCGATCGCCCCCAAATGCCCTTCCCTGCCAGCCTGATTGCCCCTAACTGCCCTCCCCTGCCAGCCTGGTCGCCCCCAACTGCCCTCTCCTGCTGGCCCAGTCACCCCTAACTGCCCTCCCTTGCCAGCCTGGTTGTCCCTAACTGCCTTCCCCTGCTGGCCATCTTTGGGCAGCCATCTTGTGTGTTGGAGTGATGGTCATTTTGCATATTCCTCTTTTATTAGATAGGATGCTTTTAGTTTTATTGCATATACATGCAAGTGACTATTATTTACAAGTTGGAACTAGTAAAATTGCTGTTTCGGTGAACTCCTGTGCAAAAAAGGCAAATGCCTTAGTCAGTCTGGGCTGCAGTAACAAAAATACCAGCGCCGGTGTGGCTTAACCAACAGAAATGTGTCTCTCGCCATTTTGGAGGCTGGAAGTCCAAGTAAAGGTGCTGGGGGGTCTGGCGCTCGTGAGGGCCTCCTTTCTGGTTCGCAGATGGCCACCTTTGTGTTTTCTCATGGGGAAGAGGGGAAAGAGATGCGGAAGAAGGGGCAGAGAGTGGGGAGATGAAGCGGGGGGGGAGAGAGAGAAAGACTTTTTATAAGGACACTCACTAATGCCATTTCTGAGGACTCCACCCTCAGCACCTCCCAGAGGCCTCACCTCCAAATACCACACATCAGGAGCTCGGGTTTCAACATATGAATCTGGGTTGAGGGGACAGGCATTTAGACCATAGCAGAGAATAATATGAAGGACACACCTACTCTCCAACCAGTTTAAGAGAGGACACCATCACAACCCTATCCCTCCTTAGCTACAACTGCCACCGCCTCCTTCCACTAGTGACCTAAGGAGAAGGAAGATGAAACTCTCTTTGAAGTAAAGCCCTTACTACCGTTCTGTCACCTTACACTGAAATTCCTCAAGTACCATCTTTAGCTCTGGAATCATTTCTAGAGGTTCTTAATAATTGATGAAGAAGCAAAAAGATTGAGTTCTTGCTCTAACATAAACTCTGAAACGGATTTTCTTTGCATCGTCATTGCAGGGTCCGAGACATGTTGACGGATGAGATCACCAAGTCAGCTGCAAAGTAAGATCCCCTTATTCTCTTTGCCACAAATCTATAAACATGTGTGTGGTGTGTGTGTTTTTTCCTGCAAGGTACATACAATTTCTCCTTTTAGGGTATTTCATAGCTTTAAGAATTTTAAAGGAGTTTTCAATTATATTTTTAAAAATCAGTCATCCTTTCTCATGTTAAGTTAATTCTTACTGTGTGTCTCTTCGTGAAAATACAGAGGAATCAGTACAAACACATACTTTTATAAGAGGCTACTGAGGTTGTACAGGTATGAAAGGGCCCCGGACTGACTTCGGTTCTTAAAATTCTAATTTAGTTTGGGTGAAGGAGATGGGTGGGGAATCCTTGCTAATGTGAATTAATAAATAGATTATTCACTCTCAGCTGTGAGCCAGCAAATAAATCAAAATAGTACTTCCTTTTATTTCCTTTGTGTTATTGGGTGCAGGGTATCTACACACTGAATTTTTAAATACTAGAAACTAATGCAAAAATCCTGTAAAAAAAAAAAAAAGATGGTTTCACTCATATCCTTGGTTTGTTTTAACAAAAATAACTCGAGTATTACTATCTTGAGGCTTTTTATCTTAAGCCAACCCTCATGAACTTGCTTAAGCAATCTCCTCAGTTTCCTTTGTTAACAAGCTGACTAATTGTTTCTGGCAGTAAGTTACACTCAGTTACTACGCTTCTCCCTTCCACCATCACCCTCAGCTGCTGACACTCCCTGACATCCTTTCTTCTTATTCACCAAACAACACAGACCTTTGACCTAGAGGATTTCATGTGCATTGAAAGTCCATTATCCAGAAATATTTCATTGCAGAATAGTTTATCCCTATCATGTCCCAACGCCCTCTGTAGCTAAATAGATTCTGCCTTAACAAAACCAACACACACATGATGTGCCTTAGAGTTAGCCTTCCACCAGTCACTTCTGAGACAGGACTAGCTGTGAAGGCCGATCCTGGCACATGAACTCCTCAGCCTCGTGTCTCCTGAGTGAAGGCAAACAGCAGTGGTGACCCTGCTCTGCGCTCAGTTTGGTGGGAGTCGGGGGACTCTCTGTGGACAAAATTGTGGACAAAATGAAAACTGAAGTTAGAGAGGCTTCTGCAGGGAGTCGTTTGTGTCTGCTCACCTGCTTTGGTGACTTGCAGACCCCGTGGGAGAGCACCAGCTGCAGACTGGAAGGGCGGGGTGCCGGGAGGGGGCTGCCTTTGGCCTGACCTCTGGTAGTTTGTTCTGTTCTATTAGCCTATTTATATCTTTATATCCTATTAAAAAATGGTGCTCTGATGGCAGCAAACAGTGCTGAAGGAACTAGCATCTTTCTATTAAAACAAACTACAATTTTGCCTCTCCAGGAGCGTTTACATTTTCCATTCTAAAATTCTTCAACAAGGCTGTCATCTTCAGCTTTCCAGAGCATTGTTTCATGACTAATACTTCAGAAGAGTGGGTTGCCATGCTCAGAGGTGCAGAGTAAAAGGAATTCATGTTTTCATGGTGTTGTCTTTTCATCAAAAATTTCAGAGCATTTTATAGGCCTTATCTTATTAAAGCAATCCATGATGGCAAGTGAATAGGAGACAGTTAAGGTCTAGGGGCAAAGGGATTAATGATGAGCAGAGGGCGCACTCTGCCTCCCTCCCTTTGCTTTCCCCACTGGCTTCCTCCAACCCTGTGAGGACCCCACCACCACCCCCTGCCAGCTCAGCCTTCTGCTCCTTGGACCACAGCCGCCACAGGCCAGCGTAAGACTTATTTTGATCTGAGCCATAAGTTAAAAGCAGGAAGTAAAACATCACCAGATTAGGCTGATATACTCATTTGAGAGCATTTATTTCTAAAGCATCAGGGTTAGGGCTGAAAGAGAATCATAACACAGATACAACCTGATGATTGATGTGTGTTTATTTTGACTGTTATTAATTAAATAGATTTGAACCTGAAGATAAAAATCCCCGAGGGACTGGGTCACTTTACGGATATGTAACGTAATACTGTGTCCCTGAGAAAGCATCATCGCAGCTCATCCTTCCTTGCACGTTTTAATTAGGTTAATGGCATCAGTTTGTTGCAAAGGACAATTTAATTAAAATGTCAGTGGTACTGCCTAGATAAATACTGTACTGATGCTGACATGTCATTATGCAAATTACTGCTGCTTGACTGTAGGGGACAGTTATTTGATCAACAAGGTGATGAGTTTTTGCTGAACCAGTTGTAGATTTTCACCTGACCAGCTCCTCCGTGAATTTGCTTCACTAAATATGCTTCGAGTGTCTTCTCTCCATCGCTCACTGCGCTAGGCATGAAGGGAATACATAGGTGGTCAAGAGAGAGTCATGATACCTGTGTGAAATGTAGAGCTTGGCCTAAGCAGCACTGTGCAACTGTGGGCTAGTTTTTTTGCTGAACCAGTTGTAGATTTTCACCTGACCAGCTCCTCCGTGAATTTGCTTCACTAAATATGCTTCGAGTGTCTTCTCTCCATCGCTCACTGCGCTAGGCATGAAGGGAATACATAGGTGGTCAAGAGAGAGTCATGATACCTGTGTGAAATGTAGAGCTTGGCCTAAGCAGCACTGTGCAACTGTGGGCTAGTTGTTGTTTCTTTAATTCAAAGATTAATGTCCAAATTTGCATTTAATCTGTAACCAAAGGTCTAATTAGCAGTGGCTTCAAATATGTTTTTCTCCATTTTACAAGAAACAATACATGCTCAGGAATGTCAAGAGCAGTGAAACTTTTGAAATAAAATCATGTTGGAGCACTGTTTTAAAACCGAGGCTAAATTCTCTTTCAGAATTTCAGTGTTAAACAGACACTTTTTTTTTTGCCCTGGCCAGTGTGGCTCAGTTAGTTGAACATCATCCCATGCACCACAAGGTTCAGGATCAATTCCCATTCAGGATTTCAGAATTTCAGTGTTAAACAGACACTTTTTTTTTTTTTTTGCCCTGGGCAGTGTGGCTCAGTTAGTTGAACATCATCTCATGCACCACAAGGTTCAGGATCAGTTCCCATTCAGAACACATGCCCAGGTTTCAGACTCCACCCCCAGTAGGGGGTGTGCAGGAGGCAGCTGATCCATGTTTCTCACATTGATGTTTCTCTCTCCCTCTCCTTTCCTCTCTCTGTAAAAAATCAATTTAAAAAAAAGGAAAAAAGATACTTTTTATGTTATCTTGTATGCTATTCTTGTTTTAAAAGACGTGGTACCCGATTTCTGGTGACCACCAAAGTTTTTCTACAGGGTGAAAAAACCTGGTGAACTAATTCTCAGACCACTGAGAACTTTAAAAGGACTTTTTACCTAACTTTAGTAATTTATGACTACAGTGGGGCCTTGACTTACGAGTGTCCCGACTAACGAGCTTTTTGAGATACCAGCTGTCTCTCGGCCGATTTTTTGCATTGAGTTGATAGAGTAATTTGAGTTAACAAGCTCCTTAACGAGCTTGGTCTCGGAACGAATTAAACTCTCGTAAGTCAAGGCCCCACTGTATTTTGTAACAAGATGGGCTTCAGGATGGTCTCAGCTAAAAGAAAGAGCCAGTAAAGTAAGAGATTTAATTTGGATTTTGTTAAATGATTTCATGGCTAGGGCACCTAGGAATGCCCAGATCTTGCCTCGCTTCTTGTGATATTATTAGCTGTATGAGTTCCCAATAATCCTGACTGCAGAACTCTAGCAAAACCTCGTGCAAAGCTATCTGTCTGGATCACAAGTCTTCCTATTTTCTCCTCCACACCAACCCCCAGCGTAAATGTTGGTGTCTTATCAACTTAAGGCAGGTCTCATAGAGGAATGAATCAAGGAGAACAAATTGGTGAACAAAATGACCAAGTGTGCAGAGCAAGTCTTCACTGAGCTTACCCACCCCGAGGTGGGAGGGAGGGGAGGAAGGGGGGGTGGATGAATAGATACACATCCTGAGTCCCATTCTTACCAAATGGAAACAAAAACGCAAGAACACGTGTATACTAATTTTTTAATACTCACTAGCTCACATGTTCAGTCAGGTCTCTGTCTTCTTTATCCCACGTATCCATCTATCCCAACACTAGGTAAGCAGGGGAGGGTTCTGGGATGTGTATGCTGATTCAAGTTCAGGTGTGAAGTCCAGGTTTGGGGACACATTCCCTGTATTTGTGGGAACCCACAATCGTAGGGCTGGCTGAGAACCCGACTCTGGCGGCCGGGTGCTCTGCTGCCTGCGCTCTGTCATGAGAGTTGGCAGCCAAGGGCATCTCCTCCGTGTCCCACCTGCGGTCACTCTACAGGGTCACCTGGGAAGGATGGAGTATTACGAACTGTGTGCTTTCAGGTGGTGGGAGTATTAACAAGGCTCAGTTTCTTGATATTAAATTCAGAAGTCAAATTTAAGATTTTGCTAATATTAGAAAACTATCATTTGGATGAAAGGAAGGGCAACTCTCAATCCTCATAGTCTAAAAACGGGTCTTTTTTGCATCTTATCTAGAGCCTCAGTTATGTAGCAATCTGGCTTTGAGGTCACTGGCTTTGATGGATTCCGAGAAAGAAGGGGGATAATAATGACTGAGGGAAGCTGCCGGTGGGCCGGGCTGCTGGGAAGGTGTGCTGTCTGGCTCCACACACCGGTGCTCAGGAGCCAGACGCCACCTCGCTCTGCCGGGCTCATTCACACAACTGCCCTGGTCCGTTTTCAGAACACTTTGATGCTTTTATATTGGCCAGTTGTGACAGAAGAAGATCGCTTAGGAAATGTAACGTCAAATGACGGAATAAACATTTTAGGAAGAAGTTAGGTATGATGAGCTTGGGTTTTGTTTTTTAATTTTTGTTAATCCTCACTCAAGGATATTTTTCCATTGATTTTTAGAGAGAGTGGAAGGGAAAGGAAGAGACAGAGAAAGAAACATCGATGAGAGAGAGGCACTTCCATTGGTTGCCTCCCACACACATTTTAGGAAGAAGTTAGGTATGATGAGCTTGGGTTTTGTTTTTTAATTTTTGTTAATCCTCACTCAAGGATATTTTTCCATTGATTTTTAGAGAGAGTGGAAGGGAAAGGAAGAGACAGAGAAAGAAACATCGATGTGAGAGAGGCACTTCCATTGGTTGCCTCCCACACGCACCCCTGCTAGGGCCTGCAACCAAGGTACATGCCCTTGACCAGAATTAAACCCAGGACCCTTCATTCCAAGGCCAATGCTCTATCCACTGAGCCAAACCGGCTAGGGCAAGCTTGGATTTTTAAGTTACAAAAAAGTATAATGACCACACATCTATAAGAAGAGTTGCAAATCAGCACCGGTGTCAGGAGCGGGGAGGCTGCTGGCATCGGGAGCAAGCAGACCTGCTTACGAGGCTCCGTGAAGGAGTGGAGTGCTTTCTGCCCTCATCTGCCCTCCCTATAATAGCACCTGCTCTTCTCCCGGCTAATGCCCCCAAATCCTCTCTTGGAATGTTTTTCTTCTTAAACAGGGAGAGCCCGGTGGTGAAAGGCAATGCGCTGTTAGCCTTAAGCAGCCTTGCTGTCGTCGTATCCAAACATGAAGCCAGCCTCTCCTCGGACAGCGAGGGCGCCCTGGAGGTGAGTCGGGGTGATCTGAACCGTGGGCTCCGCTGTGTAACCGCTGAAAAGGGAGATGTCTCTGGAAGCCGGCTCTGAGTTCACGAGGTTAGAGTCTGGATGGGCCACCAAGTCCTTCCAGCTGACGGGCCTTTACACTGGGAGCTCTAGTGCCTCTAAGACGCTTTTCTTCGCAGCTTTCTGTTTTGCTTCCTCCCTCCCAGTCAAGTGGTCATTTCAATGTGAAGGGAGCAATTTTATGCAACAGGGCTTGTCTTTTTGTGATGACATCAGTGGTAGCCAGTCCTAGGAGGTTAAGTAGGCTTACTGAAAGTGAACAATGCTGTCAAAAAATGATAAATAAGCAGTGTTTACTGACTGAAAAAAATTATACTTTTGCATTTTAATTGTAGATGTCAATGGCAAAGTGCCTATTCATTTTTGCAAGGCGTTTATTTCTTAATTAAACATGTGGCGAGCTGGTCAGTGTTCATTTCCAATGTACTTTTTCAGATAATTCCTATCTGTCAAAATAAAAAGGCACGGGTGTCTTCTTCCCACAAGCTCTATTATCTAGGAGCCATCAGCATCTGGAGACAACCTAGCCAAGGGGTTAAAAACGGCCTTTGGCGTAGGAGAGCCCGTCATTTAAATCCTAATACTTGTGCTTACTGGCTCTGTGGTGTGCCGTTACTGGCGTCCCTTTTCGGGGCCTATTTCACCATCTATAAGATGAGAATAACTATACTAATCAGGTAGGATTATTGAAGGATTACATGAATTAATATACAAAAATCACAATGCCTGGTAGATACTAACCTCTCAGTAATAGTCCTCATTCACATTAGCATATACTGCATCACTTCTTGCTGCAAAAACAGAGTTTATTCAGTGTTATTCAGCCTGTGTCTGTCCCCACAGAATGTCTTATGGACCATCTATACCGTTTTTCAATAAGTGCTCCGAGAGGCTACACAACTTTCCTGAGGAGACACAGCAATTGGCATTACCAGGATTTGAACCCAGGCAGTCTGGCCCCTGAGCCTGTTATTAACTGCTAAGCCAGCCTGTACAGTTGTACTGTTTTGTTTTGTTTTCATGGTGGGGTGTTTTGGTTGCAAGCAAAGAAAATGGCTCTCATTTAAAAGAGGAACTAGATAAGGAAGCTGGAAGCCAATGGGATTGAAGGCAGAGCTGAAAAATCAGGTTTTGGGAAGAACAGTAACCAAGGCAACCTGGGGAGTCCAGGCACAGGTACTGATGAGCCATCACAGGAGAACCCCCACTGGGATGGATAATCTAGTCATTTGCTGCCTTTGCATCACTCACTGAAGATTGAGAGTCCCGTGGGTCCCCAGCCTTCACTTGGGTAGGGTAGGACAGGTAGCTAGATTGAGCATTTAATCAAGCTTCAAATCATGGAGGAGGGAATTTCCCAAAGGGTGCTATTACCAGTAAACAAGACAGTAGGTGCCGTGTGGCAAAAGCTACCAATGTGTATTACAGGTGAGAAAGGGAAACAGATCAAGGGGTTATTGTATGAAGGATAAAATGCAAGCGTAATTACTTACTATATGAAAATTTAACTTTAAACCCAGGATCTTATTTTAATGATGAGTAAGTTGAATTTTTAAAGAGAGGAAATGTTTCATATCCTTTAAAAAGAGCCATGCAGTTGTACTCGTAATTTACCCCAGTAGTAAGGTGGGGGGGGGGGGTGTAGCTCAGAGTTTGAATGCCAGGCCCTCTTATTCTTCTTTATTCCCCCCGCCCCCCACCTTTGGTTCTGCACTGTAACACATAACGCACAAAACATCAAGAGGCCACACAACCCAGAGGTGGGGCTTTGCTTTTGTTCTTGATGACCTTGACTTTGGCTGTTACTCAGTACACACCCAAGACCTCATTATTTGATTAAAGTTGAAGTTTTCAAACTTCATCTAAGTCTGCATAGCACCAATAGCTAAAGAGCTTAAGAATGTAGTCTTATTTGATTCAAGGAATTAATTCCAAGGAGATATTTAACACTGCATTGACCTTTATAGTTTACATGACCTGAATATACCATGGGAGTTAATGAATGCTTTTGACATCCAGGGTCATGAATGATTTTTAAAGCCAAGCTCTCTTTTTAATGAGTTGGGTTTTGTTGTTGTCTTGTTTTGGTTTTTTTTACAATTCTCTTTCCTTTTCCAAACTGAAAATCAATTATGTTTTTATGACTGATTAGCTAGGAAAATGATGTTTCTTGAATGATAAATATATGGTGAGAGCAGAAATGCTAGTGATGGTCATCAGAATCACGTAAGCTGCTTTATTGCCTCCTCTGTGAAATGACAAGTCATAGAATTGAGAAAGTTTGAGTTGCTTTCTCTGCACATCTCTCCCTTGAACCTCCACATTATCCTCACTGAACCTGGGCGGGCTCTGGGGCGCTCTCGGATACGCTCTGTTTTGCAGCCCCCATCCTCTCACTTCTGTTAAGTCCTGTGTAAAAGATCAGTATTCCTGGTGGGGCACAGGTGAGCATGTGTGCTTGTCAGATACCTGCTCACCTCCTTCAGTCCTGGCAGGTGAAGTTGACTTTTTGATAACAGCATGCCATTCTTTAATACAGAAGGGGGCTATACCCTGAACCTAGAAATAATGTTAGGTTATCGTTCCATGTGTTTCTTCATCTGCAGGTTCAACCGAATTTCCTTTCCATGAAAGACTGGGTTTCCATGGTGTTTGACACTCTCCTGGTCATTGTGGATAGCCACTACCAACCCAGAGGACAACTTTTCTGCTCGTTCTATTACGTAAGTCTGAGAAATGAAAAGTGATAGCAAACTCAAGGGATGACTCTTCTCATCTCAGTTATTCACATGAAATCCATGATGTCATGTAATGATTCTTAGATGTACATTAGAATCATGATGGGAATCGTAAATATACATACATACGATGTGTGTGTGTATGTATGTATATATATATATGTGTGTGTGTATAAATTATATAATATATAATATAGTATATAGTATATAATATATAATATATATAATTTAAACAAGAAACACTGATGTGTAGGCCTTACCTCTGGCCTTTGCTCAGGGATAGGCCCTGGGTATCAGCACTTTGAAGCATTCTGGGCTATTCTAACGTGTAGTCGGAGGCAAGAGCTCCAGTTATAGTAAAATAAACACTGGCTGCAGATGGAGCCCCTGAGTTTCTTGTCACAGTTTTTTTTTTTCCTTTCCAGGGTATGTGAGCCTGGGCAGTTCACGTTATCTCTCAGGACCCTTGTTTCCCTGTCTATAAAATGAGGTGATTGAGCAATATTATCAGTAGTGATTGGAGCCCTAGCTTCGTCCCTTATTAATTCTGTTACCGTTGACCTGACACTTAACCCATCATCTTATTTTTCTTATCTGTAAAATGAAGTAAAAACTAATGCTTTGCCAACTTTACACACACAAAAAAGTGAGGATGAAATTATATAATTTATGGGAAAATATTTTGAAAAATTTGAAATACTTTGTAAATACAAAGTCATATTGTTGATCCTAAGCACCTTCTCTTTCTTCATGCTTATATCCCAAGATCTGAAGCAAAGTGAAAACACACTTTTTTTGTTTGGGTTCCTTTTCCCCTTTATTGGCGGTAGTGAGCGCATTATTTCTGTATCTGCGTGGAATTGTTTTGGTTCTGCCTTATCGCTATCCAGTGTTTAGGGAATTACAGTGATCATGGGGCAATCAGCTGAGCGGCAGAGGATTAGAGTTGATTTGAATAAAAATATAGCACGCGTCCTGATCAGTTGCTAAGATCACAAATGTAGCCTGAAACTCCGCTGCCTGAAGTCTCCTCTCTGTGCCTCTGCCCTGCCCTGGGGAGGACCTGGTATGTATTCATCTGGGGCTCAGGGGCCTAGAAGTAAAATTTTAACTATACTTGAGGACAAAGCAGGGATAATGCAGGATTACATTGGAAGGTAGATTTTGCTCACAGCAGTACTTTCTTTACAATGATTTGTTTTCTGTCGGATGTGTTCTTGTTTCTTAATGATGGATGAATATTTTCTTAGCTTATGCTGAGGTCTTTGCACTAGCTCCACGGTTCAGATGTTCAGCAGGACACATAACGTGTAGATTTCTAATACTGCTGCGTAGTTCTCACAAACCAATAGCAATAGTCTCCTTACTCGCTAGGTCAGGGTTGCCTCTGACCTTTGTGATTTTTGCATGTTATACTTTTTCAAAGCCCTGTTTCGAAAGTCACTTTTTTTTTGATTTTTGCATGTTATACTTTTTCAAAGCCCTGTTTCAAAAGTCACTTTTTTAAAAAATTTCCAGTGACCTAGGGGCTGGGTCATTTTGAGTAGTATTATCGTTACAATAGTGCTGTATCAACTAAAAGAACATCTTAGCACATGCTTGATTTTTATCCTTAAACTGCTAAAGCTTAGAGAGCGAATGAGTAAAGAATTAAAAACATTTTTTCATGTGCTTGGATGACAAGAGACAACATGGCCTTTAGGATGTGTGTGGAAATTTGAAGTGGATAATAGGGAGGAGTGGTCAGCGGACTTCCCACTCGAGACATGTTGATAAGTGTGCGTGACGTCTGGTGGAGCCCTCCAGCGTGAGGTCCTGAGAGAAGCTGTTCCTATTCAGCTGCCCCGTCATGGTGTTGGGGCTGTTACTCATTTCTTTCCCCGTGATTGCATATAGGGAGGCACATATAGAGCTCTCCATTTCATTTTCAATAGCTGGTTATTGCTTTGTAACCAGAGGCTTTTCGGATTTCAACTTCCTTTTTAATTAAAAGGAATTAGCCCCCTGCAGGAAATAATCCATCTACTGGGAAGGGTTCCCACCAAAGGTTTTGGGAGATCTGCCAATAGATCCCTGAGCTAAATTTACACTTGTCCCTCCATGCTAAACTTGAACTGGCCCCTCCCCCACCCCTTTCTGGCTCTCCGGGAAGACTCTGGCTTTCTGGACATTTATAACGTGGCTGGGTGGTTTCTCCAAGCTTGGATAGCTTCACTTTGGGTTTTTCACGATATACACATGTGGGCTTTCAAACTGAAATTGTTGCAGGCTTTCTAGTGAGGGAATTCACACCCTTTAAAAGGAGGCACTTAGAATTTGTTTTTTTCACACTTAAAAGGATGTTATTAGTTAGCGACTGTTTAGCAGCCAGTTGTTTGAGTGGGAGTGAAAATGTGACCTGTACACAAACGCAGCAACCGATGTTTTGAATTACTTGTTTGCTTGGCAGGAGTGGATCCGGGAGAAGCCCGTATTGTTGCAGAGGGCTTTTGTGATAGGTGTGTTTCCTTCATGTTTTAAACAAAAGGCCAACCCCCTGTTTTCTTTCTTTGGCATGTCCTAGAAATCCTATTCCGGGGAAAACACGGCCAGTGCCATCGCCCGCTCCGCGGCCGCCTCGGCTTTGTCCCTGCTCGTGCCAGTTTTCATTATCTCTCGCAAAGAGAAGGTGGAGGAAATCCTGACCATGCTGACTGCCAGGTTACCTGGGAAACCAAGCGCTGATGAGTCTCAAGCCGTGCAAATCCACATGGGCCTCGCTTTGGGGATGTTTCTCTCGCGCTTGTGTGAGGAGAAACTCAGGTACAGTGGGTTAACACAGCCCTGCGTTTCCTCTTTGTGGTGCCGGTGGAGGATTGCACACACATGCACACGCACACGCACACACACACGCACACGGGTGTTTGATCTGAGCAGTACGTGCTTGCTGAACTTTCTGAGACGGGCACCTCGATCATGAGTTCTGCTTTATGAGTGAATTTGTCTTTCTAAATTCCATCACATAGATATTAACGTGTTTTAAGGGTTGCTCTTATTAAAGTAATTGGTTACTGGAACGTCATTTCATGCTTAGTTGAAAGCCCTGAAAACACCTCTGTAATAGAGATGAGGAAAAGTCTAATCTACGGTGCTATAAAGAAAAGCTGCCTTTTTCCTGGGTTGTAGCTGAAAATGATTGCTGATCCGTTATTGATATCACTATCACACGGAGGGAGAGGATTGGGGTGTCCCTTGTGCCTGAAGGTGTGGGAATCCTTGAATCGCCTGAGAACTGCATGTACCCAGTGTTAAATGTTGCTTTTATCCTGTGCCCTGGCTACAGTTGTATAATCCTTAAAGAGTCTTAATCTGTGCATATTATACTCTGTAGTTTATTCCATTTGATTGCTCGGTTTTTGGCCTGCTAGCTTTACCCGTGAATGGAGCTAATAGACTATCAAAGACCCAGGTGGAAAATTCCACTAAATGGGAAAATCTTCCTGTATGTGAATCTAGTTTTTTTTGGTCCATTTTATTTTATATTTTATAGCCAATCTTAGACTTTTATATATGTGTCTATATAGATTTATTGTAGTGTGGTACAGCATGAATATTTAGATGTCACTGACTTGGAATGTAGCCCCATTGTCCAGCAGTGGAGGAGAGGGAGAGGCACCCTGTGTGGTGTGAGCTATTGTTAAACTTTCCTCTCTGTCCAAAGGCAAGAAATGGTGTTGATGTGGAGACATTAGAGAGCATGATGCTATATTTAGATTTCAGTTTTAAACCAGTGGTTAAGTTTCCATTTGTAATTTACAGAGTTTTGTGCAAATACCAATAAAGGAAACCTTTATGAAAATTGCCATTGATCTGGGGAAATACCATATTTCAGATAATCATGTTCAGCTCTTGGAAACATCTGTCAGACAATTAGGAAGAGTTGGCTTAGTCTCTGTGATCATAAACGAAACGTTTCCAGAATACTCATTTTGTTCTCTTCACCCGTGTTAGTCTATGTAGGCCTGGTTCTGGACATGAACAAAACGCTGCCCTTTGCATGTGGTTGACTGTTAACATATTTTGTGTGTGTGTGACAGAACACAAAGTATTTTTAAAGAGTTAAAACTTGAAAGTGAGTTTTCCCTCCTATGCTACTATGCGACAAATGGCAGCTCTTTCACCATCTGCGTTCCTGCTCTTCCTTCAGTATCTTTTCAAGCAACACGCTTTACAACTAAAAATGAGCCATGGCAGCTTCATTCCAGGAGACTCATTTCATCCTCCCCTGGCCCCGGCTCCCTTTCTCATTAGATTTCGATGAGCCGCTGCTGGTTTTAGGGCTTGCGTTCGTGGTTCATTTAATCACACTGCCTGGAGAGACCCACGGTGATTCAGCTAAAGCATCACTCTGGTGCCCAGGCTGCCTCCCGCCCTGTCTGCTCTTACCTGACTTTGCACCTGCAGGAACCCCTGGGGCAGGACCTCAGGAGGCTCTTCCCATGGCCCAGTGCCCTCTGAGTAGCTGCAGATCTTAATGTGGCTTTAATGACCCTGTTTGATAGCATCCTCCTGTTAGCTGGTGTCTTAGTCAGCCAGCTCATGGCTCCCACCTTCCTTATTTCTTGGAGCAGAGGAATCTGAAATATGTGCCTTCGATACTAAAACATATTTTGCTAGAGAGTGACAATGTCATCAGATAATGATATTTTTGGAGAAAGTTTCCATTTTTCTGTAATGAAGGCAAATGTTTTGAGGGCTATTGATTGACCAGTCAAGGACATCAAAGAAATGACCCAAAACAGCCCCTCAGGACAAGGTGCTGGTCCCGAGAATGAAAAATCACCTTGTAAAAGAGAATGGTGGCAGTCAATCCATTTTTTTGGTCAAGCTTATGGACAAGTCACCTGAATTTACATTCTGGCCTAGAATTCATTCAGGAAAGCATATTATTTCAAAGCTCGCTTCCATCATGACTCCCAGAGGATATAGCACTTCAGCATTTGTTTAGCATATTTAAGTATATTTTACTCCAGAGAACAACTATAATAGAACTTACTTAGTTAAAGCTATTAAAAGTGTGTGTGTGCGTGCGTTTTCATTGCAAAATCTAATCCTTCACCTCAAGCAAAACCGCTGGCTGCAGTCCTGGTTTGAGGACGTGGGAAGGGCTCTCTGTGCCGGGTTCCCAGCTGCGTTCCCCCGGCAGGCGGAGGCAGCAGCACCAGGCCTGACATGTGGGACCCTGATAATCAAGTGTCGATGATAAAGCCCACGGCTCTGCCTGAAAACACTACCTTTTATGTTTATTCTACTATACAAGCCAATGACAAAATCGCATCAATTACCGCAGACAGGAAAACAGAGAGCTGGTGTCGCCTACATGAAATCAAATGTAAGTCTTTGCATGAAAGAGATTGGGAACCATTATTGATAATAAGAGCTTAATGGGTTTTTTTTTTAATATTTGACAACCAACCTCTTTAGCACTTAGAAATACCTTTTTTTTGGAATTCTGACTTTGGTTTTTATTTTTTAGTGATTTAAATTTGAATGGACAAAATTTGTGACAACATGATGACCTAGGGAATATTATACTCTAAGTGAAATAAAGACAAATGCCATATGATTTCACGTCTATCTGGAATCTAAAGAAAATGAACAAACAAATAAAGCAGAAAAGGACTCATGGAAGCAGAGAACAAACTGATGGTTACTGGGGGGGGGGGGGGGGGGGGGGGGATGGATGAAAATGGTGAAGGGACAAAATTCCAGCTATAAATAAATGTATTTATACAGGACAGAGAGTACAGTCAATAATATGGTAACAAACGTGTATGGTGATAGGTGGTTACTAGACTTATTGTAGGGATCACATATTAAGGTATATAAATGTAGAATCACTATGGTGTTCATCTGAAACTAATATAATATTCTATGGCAACTATACTTCAATTATAAAAAAGTTTTCATGAGCTGAGAAAATGCAAAAGTAAGTGTTTATTAGCTTGCAAATAATTGTCATGTTCAGAAACCCAATGACTGAATAAGTTCTGACTCAGTTTCTCTGTCTACAAAATAAATATATATGAGTCGTCAATAGTATTGATTGTTACGTTTATGTTTTTTAAAGTAGATGCATTTTCAGTAGAATATTGAGAGCAAAATATTGTATAGTAAGTATTTGGGACAGTTGAGTGACTTTAAATAACTCCTTTTCCCCGTGGCCTTTCCCTAGTGACGTTTCCGGCCACCAGATGAACCTTCTGCTGATGAAGTCCTTGGATGCCCTGGAGAACTGCTGCTTTGACCCCCGCCTTGAACACAAGTATGTCGATCCCATGTCCTCTCTAGCAGGTGCTTAGAGGTTGGTTTTTTCTCTGCCATAAACTTTGAATTCTATGGTGAGATATTTCCAGGACCCCATCTTGAATTCCTTTGAAAAAAATTCTTAATAATCATCAAAGATCTGTACTCAAAGTGTACCTGTTCTGAAAGCAGTGTTTCGGCAATAGTTCGCCTCAGTACAAAGCAGCACATGTCGTTCTGTGGCTGTCGTTCAGTTGCTGATACCTTAGCTCTGGCTTGTACATCTCCCATCAAGCATATATTTGGAGGCTTGTGTGCATGCGTTAATCTTTCTAAAGAAACTTTTTAAATTTCGACTAAAAGAATCTGAGACCCATGATTTAGATTCCCCTGTGAAATCCAATGGCTGAGGAACAAAAATGGAAACAAATACAGGTTACACCAGGGTTCCCCACCTCCTCAATGTTTATAGATCCATTTTTGCCCCAAAGACCTCAGGATTTTTGTCCATTAAACTAATATTTTAAAATGTAATTCATTTTCTCATTGCCATTATGAAAGATAACAAAATGAAAAGGAATAATCAGAAAAGAATGTCTCGAAAACCAACGTTAAACATACTCATTTAGTGAGACACTTAGTGTTTCCATTAGCCTCGTGACCTGGGGTGGGGGGAGAGGGAGGAATGTGGTTTCCTTAGGCTCACTGGAGTACTGACATGTTGAGGACTACATTGTACCTTTTTGTGCTTAAGCATGTCTTACTTAGAACCTCAGGTTTAGATCCTCTGGGGTTTATTATTACTTGGAAACTCAACAGATTATAAGCACTAACCCCCAACTTATGAATTCATTTACTCTTTGCTATTATGGGCATTTAAATCAGGGTTTGCATTTCTGGCCTTTAGGAACTTATGATCTGAAATGACATTTATACCATCTAGCCTGTTTATTCCAAGTAACAAAAGAGTAAATGGTGGAAGCAGCTTCACATATCAAGTATTCATCATGAGTAAACAAAATCAGATGTTCACATAGTAGGTGGTCATGACAGGCCTTCTTTCAGACACAGGCTAAGGTTGGGTAAGAACCATTGATACCCACCCAGTTTAATGGATGGTATAGAGCCATGGAAAGTTGAGAGTTTTGAGCCTAAGCTGTGTATTAGTGGTGTTGCCTTTTATAACCAAGGAGTAAGCTGGGTCTCTCTCTCTCTCTCTCTCTCTCCCTCTCCCTCTTTCCCTCCCTCCCTCCCTCCTTCTTTCTGCCTTCCCCCTAAAGGTGTTCATCATAGCTGGGGGGAAATCTTATGATTAAGATGCTCCAAACTTTGAGCCAGTTGAAACTACCAAGAATGACTTTCAAGTATTATATTCATTACTTTCCAGAAAGGTTGTTTGAAAGTAAGGAGGACCGTGGGGAGAACGGAATTATCCACAGTATGGGTCTTTACACGTGTAAGAACTAAATATGTCTAAGCATATTTAACTTTAAAATGAACTTTTTATCTTAATAAGATTCTTATTTCTTTACTCTTACTTCTTTCTTGATTCTTACCTGCTTAACGATTTTTTTTTATTTGATTGAGCAACTGCCTTTGCGAGCGGAAGGATGGGCCTAGATAGGGGCTGAACCTGCCGAGTCGGGTAGAACAGGGTCCTCAGAAATTTCCTGTTCATTTAGGAAGATCTGGCTTGTCTTCAGGGCCCCAATTAGAAACTCAGGCCCTTCAAGGAACCCTCTCTTTATCCTCTCAAAACTCCCGTTATTCCTCTCGTTAATGAAGTTTAGTATTTTGTCATGTCTAATGCTTTGTGGGTGGCAGTGCTTAGTATGTTGTTCCCTCTCGGGTTTGAGGTTTAATTAGTACTAACTGAGTAGCCACAAATTGTTGGAGGCATTTTCACATCCCTTTCCCATGTAATTAAGCCTCGATTACACCCTAAATGTTGACACCAAAGTAGGAGTCCGTTTCATTTTGGTTTACTGATGAAGAAAGTGAGTCTCAAAGAGGAGCCTGGTTCAAGGTCACACAATGAGTGGCAGAGCTTGGAGAGAAACCCTAGGTTGTCTGACTTCAAAGTCATTTTCCTCTCTTGGATAGTACAACATTGAGAACATTTCAATCGAGAGAAATCTGGAATATTACTCACAACAAAAAAGAATGAAATCTTGCCATTTGCAACAACCATGGATGGACCTAGAAGCATTATGCCAAGTGAAATACATCAGACAGAGAGAGAAATATGTGTATGATTTCACTTATATGTGGAATCTAAAAAACAAAACAAATGAATAAGCAAAACAGAAACAGACCCATCGACGTACAGAGCTAGCTGATGGTTGCCAAAGGGGAAGGGGAAGAGGATGGGGAAATAAAATAAATATTTTTTAAAATCAGAAAAAAAAAGAAAGTAGGTTGACCCTTAATGTTCAGTGTTTATTCTTTTTCTCTGACATGCGGGTCTTGCTTGCCATTTAAAAAAAAAAAAAAAGTCTAGTCTCAGGCCTGAATGCCTGGCTCCTGGCATAAAGTATCCCTGTCTAATGAGATTGCAGAAGTCTAGGGCAGTCCTCCCTCCAGTGAAATGGTGGGAGCGTTACCAGGAGGTAGTTAATGGATCCGGGAGCGTGCTACCTCAAGTGATAGAATTCACCCAGAGCAAATTCACCACGCTTCCTGGATTTAATGGACATGTCCCTGCTGGGAGAACCAAGCACCTGGGCTGATCTGTGTTTGTGGTCCCATCGCTTACATTTTGCTGCCATCTAGTGGTAATCATGGTGCCATTGCAGTCCTCACAGCCCTGGTCATTCTAGCCACCTAAGCCTTGGGTAATTACTATTGAGCTTTCACAAATACAATATTTGTATAGCACTTTGTAAAGGGCAAAGTGTTATACGAATGTTAACTGTTATTAGAACTAATTATTAGATGGCCTAGTACTTAATCTGCAGGACAGCCTACGGCAAACTGAGGAATTGAAGATTCATCTCTGGGTAATTTTAGAAAATACACAGCCTTGTATCTCAGTTGATGTGGCAACACACATATGAGAATTGCCTAGCTTTTAAGTCACAAAATTTCTTTTTGGTAGTGATATTTTAATATACTTGGATAAGACCTTCAAATAAGTAATGTCATAATAGGGCCTATAATTTTAAAATTCAAACTCTCTTTATCATTTGTTAGTATTCTTCTCTTATTTTAACCCTCACCCAAGGATGTGTTTTAATTGGTTTTTAGAGAGAGAGGAAGGGAGACAGATAAATATCGATGTGAGAGAGAAACATTGATTGGTTGCCACCCATACATGCCATGACCAGGATTGAACCTGCAGCCTATGTATGTGCCCTGACCGGAAATCAAACCACAACCTTTTGGTGTCGGGGACAACTCTCCAACCAGCCAAGCACCTGGCCAGGGCTGTTAGTATTCTCATACAAGACTCATGTTGGCAATTCCAAAACCTCAATTTTATACCTAATACTAGTATAGCTTGTTTTTATTTCATCTGTCTGATTTGGGGGTGTTTTGTTGTTTATTAATCCTCACCTGAGGATATTTTCTACCAGAAAGTGCAAGAGAAGGAGAGAGGGGGAGAGAGGGGGAGAGAAAAACACTGCTGTGAGAGCTACACATCGAGTAAGTGCCCCCGACCAGGAATTGAATCCAAGACCCTTCGATCAGGCCAACACTCTAACCACTGAGAAACACCGGCCAGGGCATCTTTCTGAGACACCAACACTTAACTCCTTTTTGTTTTCAATGAACAGAAAGATGTGAAAGCTACCTCTGCCCGTTGTTCTCGGTTTAGAGCTGTCAGACTTCTCAAAGGGAAGCTAGGGGGAGATCAAGTGTAGAAATGCTGAACTAAGCACTTGGTGAATCTTAATTCACCAAGGACAAAAAATAAACACATTAAAATATAGAATCTTAATTCACCAAGGACAAAAAAATAAACACATTAAAATATAGAAGATTTGGAAATCAGAAGGAAACATCAGGAATAAAGGTTTAGAACTACCTTCCTGTTGCATGCTGGAAAAATGAGAAGAAGCAGAAGGAAACAATTTAGCAGGTCAGTGGGTGCCCACACTCTAACATATTTACATTGGCACATGTATACATAGGTGGGTTATATATTCCTGTGTTACAACAGTTAAATAATTACCACTGGAGCAATGAATAGAATCGTTCATGAGTAGTAACCTTGCCTAAGACTAATTATGCTGTGATAACATTTAGGTAAATGTGAACTGAAAGCGGGGTCTCTCTTTTCTGAGCCTTTGTGCCCATATGCCTGGGGATGGTAAAGGAGGAGCCTCCGTCCAGGGGAGAAGGATTTTTCTGCGCCCAAAATAGCCCCAAAAGCAAGATTTGGGTAGCTACCTATTTATTGAAAAGAATGAACCCCAGTACTCAAGTGAGCTTTGGGAAGAACCCTTTTTCCACATGAACCTGATACCCCTTTTTCTTAAATTGGTCTGGCAGGAAATAGAAATCAAGTTTTCTTGCTTGAATCTTGGATGGTATACTCCGTGAATTTTATAACTCATAAATTTTGCCCCCAACTAAACAAAGGAACCAAGTCTTGGTTTTCTTTTGTTGTTCTTTTCCTTTGGGTAGCTCTTCTCCACTTCAGACGCCCTTGAAACCCTGCATTTGCTCACTTCCTAGTGTTCAGTGGGTCTGAGTTGGATGCCTGTCCCCACCCAGAAGTGTACTCGGTGCACAGACATGGTGGTGAGGAAAAAACAGAAGAGGCGCCCACCTGCATGGCATGGAACGTGCAGGCTGGCGAATGAGGTGGATGGTAATTAAACAAACCCCCAAATAATCCTCATTCTGATGAGGATTTATAATTAAAATTGTCTGAAGTAAATTAGTACAGGGTGCGATGGGAGAATAGGAAAGAGGTTCCCCGCTGGGCCAGCGAAGGTGTCCCTGAGGAAGTCACATTTTAAATCTTAAGCAGAAGTAGCAATTATATAGCCAAAGAGGGAACAAAAGTCAGAATTTCCAAAGTGTTGATCACATTGTGTCTAGCTACATCTTTGGGATAATCCTATCCAAATTGTATATGCATCCGTATAGAAGGATAGCCAGGCCCAGCCGGCGGGGCTCTAGTGGCTGAGCGTCGACCTATGAACCAGAAGGTCACGGTTCGATCCCCAGTCAGGGCACATGCCCGGGTTGCAGGCTCGATACACAGTGTGGGCAGTGCAGGAAGCAGCTGATCAGTTATTCTCATCATTGGTGTCTCTATCTCTCTCTCCTCCTTTCCTTTCTGAAATCAATAAAAAAATTAAAAAAAAAAAAAAAAAGAGAGAGAGAGAGACAGCCAGAAAAACTGCCCTTAGATTCTAACTGAGAAGAGAGACTTGAATCCGTACTAATGGGAGCAGCCCCTCCTTCAGAAGCCTGCTCTGTCCCGACAGTAGGCGGCTCGGGCTCCGTGCCGAGGTGGCGGGTTGGAAGTGCTTGATGCTGTTAACTTCATGTTAGCATGTTTGCCGCACCGGCATCTCCGCCTGGCTCATGATGGGTAACCCTGCAGTCGCTTCTTCACAAAGGACTTTCTAACGCCAGGCTGTTAGGCAGTGGAACCTAGAAACACCCACTTGAGCCATGTTGCCTTCATGGCCTCGTGCAGGGCACCAAGAGGGGCTGGGGTTTGGCGGATGGACCAGAAGGCTGGGAATTAAAAACACAACACAACACAACACAACAACAACAACAAAAGCACCGTCTGGCCGCGCTCTGCTGGAAACACCCTGCGTGACCTTGAGCAGACCCTGTAGCATCCCCGGCCTGTGGGCGTCTCTCTCCCATGTGGATGCTCCATTCGCACAGAGGTGCTGGGGGAAATAACTAGCACGTTCATGAAACGACGCAAAGGTCCTTGAGGCCAGCCAAGGAGAGAGACGCCGTGTACAAGCCAAATGACACAGGACACAGGCGGGGAAATGGGTGGTTGGAGAGTGCCCTGGAGCCTGCCTCCCCAGCAGCCGCCCTGGGGAGAGGCGAGCCAGACCCGAGCCAGGGCGGTTGCTGGAAAACTCAGCCTCCCCTCAATTTGAAAAACAGCAACAAAGACAAAACCTTTTCTTACAAAGTAAGAAATGACCTCACAGCTGCATTCTCTTATCATACTAGCGAGACGTTCTGGGAAAAGGATTCGTTTCTTTAAATGGGTGTGTATTCTTTCAGGAGGACTCGGGCACAAAAAGCCCAGGGTCCCGATTGAATTGTCACTCGGGGTAACTTTTGACAAGCCTGTCATCTGTCCCTTTTCTCCCCTGACCCGGTGGTACTCCGAGAGATCAGAGGGGAGGAGAGGATTAAGGTCATTGTGCGCAGGCGAATACAGTTCCTCCGAGAAAGAAATTCCACTTGCTGAAGTTGACTAGGAAACACGAAGCATGAAGCAGGACCTGGGAACCAGGCCTGGCACTGATCCGTCCTGCTGTTAGTGAGACCTCCTCGGCTCAAATCCTTAAATGTCGTCTTTTCTCTCCTTATGCGGTTCATCACAGTGCACGCAACGTGGGGGTGGGGTGGGGGTACCACAGCTCTTCTCAGTGCAGCGATAGGGCTGGCTTGACTGCTGTTTATGCCTCCTCCTCCCCTCGTCATGGAATGTAAGTCCAGCTGTTTCGTGATTTTACTTGTCTGTTTTTCTCCAGTGGGTACACAGCACTAGCATGGGCCACGAACACCTGTTTTGTGGTAAAAGTTGCCCTTTTTAAAAAAATTTTGTTTTATTGCTTAAAATATTACAAAAAGTAGTACATATGTCTCCTTTCTTCCCCCCCTTGACCTTCCCCCGGCCTCCCCTATCCCCCAGTGTCTTGTGTCCATTGGTTATGCTTATATGCATGCATACAAGTCCTTTGGTTGATCTCTTACCGCCCCCCCTCCACCCTCCCTGGTCTTCCTGCTGTAGTTCGACCGTCTGTTCGATGCTGCTCTGCTTCTGTATCTATTTTTGTTCATAAGTTTATAATGGTCTTTATTATCCATAAATGAGTGAGATCATGTGGTATTTTTCTTTCATTGACTGGCTTATTTCACTTAGCATAATGCTCTCCAGTTCCATCCATGCTGCTGCAAATGGTAAGAATTCCTTCTTTTTTACAGCAGCATAGTATTCCATTGTGTAGATGTACCACAGTTTTCTAATCCATTCATCTGTTGACGGGCACTTAGGCTGTTTCCAGATCTTAGCTATGGTGAATTGTGCTGCTATGAACATATGGGTGCATATATCCTTTCTGATTGGTGTTTCTGGTTTCTTGGGATATATTCCTAGAAGTGGGATCACAGGGTCAAATGGGAGTTCCATGTTTTGTTTTTTGAGGAAACTCCATACTGTCTTCCATAGTGGCTGCACCAGTCTGCATTCCCACCAGCAGTGCACGAGTGTTCCTTTTTCTCCACATCCTCTCCAGCACTTGTCGTTTGTTGATTTATTGATGATAGCCATTCTGACAGGTGTGAGATGGTACCTCACTGTGGTTTTGTAAAGGTTGCCTTTTGAGGAGGGAGGGTGTGTACTTTTGGTGTTTTGTGGGACAGGCTTACAGAGCAGGCAGCAGAATTCGAATCCAGCCCTCTCACCCCAACCTGTGGAGCACTGGAAACTCCTGGGAAAGGTGAAGCGCGGACTTCTGTGATTTTTAACACCTCGTCTTTTTGGCCTCCAAGCACGGGCTGTATCCTGGGAGTTGGACTGGTTCTGTCCCTCATGAGCCACAGCAGCCAAACGGAGTCGCGCGTCCACGTGGCCGCGTCGCTGCGGAAGCTGTCCGCGTACCTCGATGACAGCGGGAGCCAGAGCAGGACCTTCCAGGAGGTAGGAGGCGAGGTCCCGGTTTCCTTCCCTTCCCCGGCTTTTGCTTCATGTTGCTGCTTATTTTCTGCTTCTCACATTTTGGTGACCCTGGAATTAAATTCTTCCTCACCCTCAAGTGGGATAAGGAGAAAATCCAAGTGGCAAGCCACCTATAATAGATCATAAGGGTTTCAAATTGTGCAGCTGTTTAAATCAACTTCGACTTAAATGTGGCAAGTAAGATAAGCGCCTGGAGTGAATACAGACTCCGGAGTCAGCAGCACGAGCAGGCACTTTCTAAGAAGCGCTGCGGTTTCTGGAGGGGGGTTAAATGGAGAGAGGTAGAATTAGGCCCAAGCCCATGTCACTTTAAAAAAAAAAAGTGGTCAGGAAATAGCTTAAGAAACTGCAGATCGGAAAGGCATTTGCTTTTTTAAATGTCAGCCAGCATGAGAATCACTGAAGAGATTCCCGTCACCACATTAAATGAAGAGCTTTTTCTGTTGTGGTGCAGAAACATGCAGACTTGCAGTTCATGTGACGCGGCCTGTGAGTGTCGGCCACGGGTGTGGGAGTCTGTCCTGCGCAGGTGAGGCCGGGCCCCGTGCTCCTCGCTGGAAGGAGCCGGAGACGACCTCTTGGCCTGGCCAGACTCTCCCTCCCGTTGGAGCACGAGCTATTGAGGAGCATAAAGGCCGCTGTGTCCCTGCACGGCCCCTCCTCTCAGGCGTGGGGCTGGTTGAGTCGGTGAATTTCTGACGGCACAGAGGGCTGAAGTTTTGTTCTAAGACAGCGGTTCTCAACCTGTGGGTCGCGACCCCTTTGGTGGTCGAACGACCCTTTCACAGGGGTCGCCTAAGACCATCCTGCATATCAGATATTTGCATGACGATTCATAATGCTAGCAACATTACAGTTATGAAGTAGCAACAAAAATAATTTTATGGTTGGGTCACAGCATGAGGAACTGTATTTAAAGGGCCAGAAGGTTGAGAACCACTGTTCTAAGACATGCCCCACATTGCCACTTTCAAAGCAGAGCATGATTCAAAAGGACATATATTTTTAAGCAAAAGGAGAAAAGAAAATTTTGCCGCCAAGGAGGACTTTGGCTAACAAATGAAAGCAAGGTTTTCCTAATTGAGGCATTTGACCGCTTGATGTTTTGATGTATGAGGCCTTGGACACACATTTTGTTTTTTTTCTCCCCTCTCATGTTTTATTATCCAATTTCTACCTTAGAAACCACTTATTCTTTTCCGGCCGAATAGACCAGTGTTAGGAGATACACATTTCCACTTTGGCTTGAGTGTCTTTGTAAGGGAAGGTTTCATCATGAAAATGCAAGATAACAGGGAGGGGGTGATTAACTACGATTTGCAAAAATTGAGGCTCAAATGGGTTGTTTGACTTGCCTGGCGTTACTTAGCCAATAAATGATCAATTTGGAATATACACCTGAGTATTCCGTCTCTACTCCCAGCATTTTTATTTGTAATCTGTTCATGTATTCATTTACTTATTATATTATCCTACAGTGCTAGGAAGTAGAGAGTATTATCTCTATTTTACACAATTTATCTGACTCTAAAGCCCTCAGTCGTGGTCCATTCTGCTCCACTGCTGCTACTGGGGGATCTTAACGTAGCCACGTCTCTATCCCTCCGCTGCTTGGCCTTGGAGCAGACCTGTGGCAATTAGTAACGTCCACTGTGATGAAAACCAGCTTCTACCACATATAGATGGTGTGTCCTGAATTGGTGAGGGAGCCTTTGGTTTTGAATCTCACTCCTGTCACTTGCTAGCTCTGTGTAGTTGAGCCGCAACGTCCTTATCTATAGAGTAGGAATAATAACGACGCCCACCTCGTAACATTGTTAGGAAATACAAGTGAGGCAGCGAAGCAATGCCCGTCTGTGGGAGGCGTACTTAAATCCATTCCTTACTGGGGAGAAGTTTGACCGAATATTTGTGTCAATTAAACCTGTTCTTTTCTTTTCCCTCGTGAAGAAACATTGTCCTGCTGTCTTTTCTCCCAGGTCCTGGCCTACACCCTCAGCTGCGTGTGCACAGCGGCGTTCAGTGCCGGCATCATCGAGGCTGCGGAGGCCGAGGACACGATGAACAAGCTCCGCCAGTTGGTAGAGAGCAACCAGCAGGTGGGAAGGCGCCCTGGTTCCTCCCTCTGTGGGTCTCAGGCTGCTGCTCGGCCCTGATCTTGACTTACTCTGATTAGAGGACAGTGGGATGTTTTTCATGCCCAGAACTGAGGAGCTTAACTATTTTCCCATCTCACAGCTACAGCCAACAATCACAGGGGCCTTTTTCTCTCATCCCTTATGTTCTCCAGTAGACCTTTTTTTTAATTGGTTGGAGAGAGTACATAGCCTTTTCAAATTGAATACATATAGGGCTCTGCTGAGGTCAAACCTTAGCAAATACAAGGGCAAAGAATATAGACTAAATAGGTATAGGAAAAATTAAATGCCTGTAAATTAAATTAAATACCCTTAAATGTTCCCTCTAAAATATTATTCAGCCTTAAAAAGAAAGGAAATCCTATGCTACAACAGGGATGAATCTTGAGGACATCATGCTAAGTGAAATAGGCAACCACAAAAAGACACATACTGTATGATTCTATTTATATGAGGCACCTAGAGTCATCACATTCATAGAGATAGAAGATAGAATGGTGGTCGCCAGGGGGAGGGAGGAGGAGGAGTTCTTGTTTAATGGGTATAGAGTTTCAGTTTTGCAAAATAAAAAGAGTTCTGGAGATGGATGGTAGTGATTGATTATACAATAATGTGAGGGCACTTAATACCACTGAATTGCATAGTTAAAAATGATTAAGATGGTAAATTTTATGTTATATATATTTTACCACAACTTTAAAAATTGAAGGGGAAAAAAGCTCTGTCTGATTACACATGCTTTAGAATCTTCTCATTGCTGGTGGTAGTGTTTTGTGTGGTTTTTTTAAATGTTTCTCTCAAGTCTCAATATTGGCCATAGTGGGTTATTTCAGGATTCACTGGTTTTAAATGTATATTGTTTGGTATTGTTACTACTTTATGATTATTTGCCTGCTCATGTTCAGTGGGATTTGCAACATCAAAATGTAGAAGTTTACATACGCAGTGCTCATTATGAGACATTTTCTCTTCTTGTTTGGGAGTTGACAGCTTGCGCGATCTACTTGGGTATTTTCGCTTGAACCCCTTCTGAAATGTGGATCATTTGAGCCACGTTGCTCAATAGTGCGGTGTTATTTCCCTCAAATAAACCACTCACTGCAGCTGACTCCCTTGCAATTAGACTGTAGCTTCTGTTGCAAAGCAAAGTCTAGATTTTTAAAATCTGCCACTCCCTGATTTTCAGATGCCTAAAGAACTTGTCAGGGTGAGGGGCGGGGGGCGAGGGGAGCCCCAGGAAGTGCTTGTGCTGCGATATGTAAACATTCTTCCCTTTCCTTACCCCTTGTTTCTGTTTGTTTGTAACAGACTTCAGGTTTTGCCTTGGCGTTAGGCAACATAGTTCATGGTTTGTCTGTGTGTGGACATGGAAAAGCCGAAGACTTGGGCAGCAAGCTGCTCCCTGCCTGGATCAGGATTGTCCTAGCAGAGGTAGAGGTCGCGACCTGCATGGTATTTTAGTTTTGTATAAAGGAAAAGGGCTACTTAATTGGGCCATTTGTAGATAACTGCTCAGGTATATAGCTTAACAATGAAAGAATGGGTGATTTCAAATGAAAGGGAAACGTGTGCTTTTCAACCCTTATACATGATACATCCTGTCAACTATGATAGTTTTTTTAAAACTGGTTATTTGGCCAATGTTTTAATTTTAAACAACATTGTGGTTTTTAAAAAATAAAAAAACAAGAAGAAGCCACTTATGATCTAACAACTTCAGCCTGTAGCTTTATTCAAGTCTGGGGCCATTTTTGGTTCAGTGATACAGGTTATGTTGACCCTACCCATTTAGTACCATTTTGACCATTAATTTCTCTATGATATAATAAGTTTTCTAGAATTCAAACCCAAGGACTGTTTCCCTCATGACATATTCTTTGTTTTCAGGGCTCTCCCACAATGCTTTGCTTGGCAGCTCTCCATGGCATGGTGGCCTTGGTAGGCTCAGAAGGGGATGTAATGCAGGTAAAAAGAAAGAAAGAAATCTGAATGTGTATCTAGCCACAGCAAGAGCAGAATACCTAGCATCTCAGTATGCTGAGGACAGAAGAATATATGCTCACCGTAATGGTTACACTGGGTTTTGCAGTGACTTTAATGTATGGAAAATTGTTCTTTTTAAAAAAGGTTTTTTTATTGATTTGAGGGGGGGGGAGAGAAAGGGAAAGGGAGAGAGAGAGAAAAACATCAATCGGCTCCCCCCTGGGCCCCCCTACTGGGGATCAAGCTCAAAACCTGGGCATGTGCCCCAACCGGGAATTGAACTGGTGACCTTTTGGTACATGGGAGGCCACTCAATTAACTGAGCGGCCAGGGCAAAAAATTGTTCTTTGCTGAGAATTCTTTGTATAGAGATTTTTTCCCTTTATTTTATTTGATTTGTAGGAATTAAACCTAGTCAACTTAATGTACTTGCTACAAAGTTCCCTGCCTGAGAAAAGTTAATGAATCGTATGAAATTACCGAAGTCATTCATAAGAAACTCCATTGTACATCTGTAATGTTTAAGTTAGTATCTAAGTACGTTTTTGTTTTTGGTGTGTTTTTTTCACTCTAAAATGTTTTCCAGCCCTGCCGGCGTGGCTCAGTGGTTGAGCATTGACCAGAAGGTCACAGTTCCGTTCCCAGTCAGGGCACATGCCCTGGTTGTGGGCTCGATCCCTGGTGTGGGGCATGCAGGAGGCAGCTGCTCAATGATTCTCTCTCATCATTGATGTTTCTATCCCTCTTCTTCTCCCTTCCTCTCTGAAATCAATAAAAACATTTCTTAAAAAATGATAAAATGTTTTCCATAGTGGACACATAGATGTGTAAATGTGTAAGTAATTCTAAGGACCTCCTTTGTTTATACAGTTCAGGAGTGTTAGGTGGCTGCTGCGTGCCACGCTGAACGGGTGCTAGGAAATCAGTGATAAATAAAGCCTGGGCCCTGCTCTCCAGGAGCTCACTGTGGAGTCCGACTTTGAAAGACAAGGACATGGTGATAAATGACTGCGTAGTGGAGAAGATGGCAGCTCATCCACTGGGAATGTCATCGTATGCTTTTTCGGGGATGTTGGAGTGAATTTTTTTTTTCTTTCAGCTGAAGTCAGAAGCCATCCAGACCTCTCAGTTTCAAGCCAGACTCAATGAAGTCATTAGAGCCTTAACACAGGTGAGAGGAGGAAGTTAAAGCCCTTCAGTGGGAACACGATGTCCCCCTTTTGTCTTTTTCCTCTTTCATGATACAAACTGTTTTACTTGGAAAATGAGGAAATCTGTTTACTGATGGTGAGTTTCAGGGCATTTGAAAATGGTTTGTGGCCCTGCATTTGCTGACATACATGCACTCTTCTGGAAAAAAAGAAAGCTGGCGTTCTGAGTTAAGTTGGCATTAGTTTCCCGTAAAAATCAAAACCTGACCCTGCAAGGAGAAAGGGACGGTGATCAGAGGGCAGGCAGGTGTCTGAGTAGCAAGTCGAGGCACCCGTTCCCATGTCACTGAGACAAGGATGTGGGTAAGTCACTGTCAGCGTGAGCCTTGGCTGAAGAATGAGCATAGTTATGTGCTGAGAAATGATTGTATAACTCAGTATTTTTATTTTTTAATGATCATTGCATAAAAGTTGGAGGTACAGACAGCATGGAAGAAGCTGAACAAATACCACAGCTGGTCCTCCCAGCCTGAAGGACTGCCCCTAGTGTCTGTCACATTGCTTTTCAGGCATCTCATTTGTCTACTCGGTATTCTTACTGCACATAGACCTTTGTGTCCTAGTCTTGTCACTTAGCGTAATTTTCATCTTGTAAAATGTTGGTGATTATAACACCTGAAGAACTTCTAGTAATTCAAGTTTCAAAAGCAAACATCAATTTCTGAACAGAAGAAACTGTCTTTTTCCTGTATGAATATGAATATTCTAAAAAAATCCTTAAACTTAAGTTGCTTTTACTTGGGAGAAGAATCTATAATTTAAACTATTTTAAAAATGCTTATTATGAATGATCAAGCATTAATTGAAAATTATTTAAAGAAGAGAACAAAATAATATCTCCTTCCATTGTTAGAGGTATTTTAAACAAATTATCACCTCTTTTTACCTTTTGGATTTTCTTTTTCCAGTTTTTGATAATATTTTGAGACCTATCTGACTCGGGGATACCTGAGACAAGCACTACTGTACTCTTCTATCATCAGTTGATTCACTCGTTCATTCATTCGTCATTCATTCATTCAGCAACACTTGTTGATCACCGACTAAATCATCCCAGACTTAGTAGACTAGACAGGTGATATTACACCTTGTCATAGAGCTTCTCGTTACCAGACAAGGCACCACCTCATAAAAGATCAGTGACTTTCTGTGAGTGGCCTTTTATTGAGTTGAGTTTGGATCATTTCCCATCACTGAACTGTCACATTTTCATCCATAGGTCATCAGTGTGTCCGGGGTGATTGGTCTTCAGTCCAATGCAATCTGGCTTCTAGGACATCTTCATCTGTCTACTCTGTCCTCAAATCAAAGCAGAACCTCCGGTAAGAGTAGAGCCATAGGACACTGTAGCTGGAAGGAGGGTGCTGACTTGGGCTATGAACTATTAAGAGCATTAGTCTCCACAACAACCCTCAGGGATGGGGATAGGAATTACCACCCCAATTTGGCATCAGGAAATGGGCTGTGGAAAGGCTGCCTGACCTACCCAGGGTCACAAGGCAGTTAGTGGCGGACACCAGTTTGAACTCAGACCTGTCGGCCTCCAAAGCCCATGCTCTTTTCACTCTTCCTTTCTGCCTCCCTGAGAAAACAGTTCAGACATTGAGTCTAACCTCATATTTTACAGATGAAGAACCTGAGGCTCGGAAACATTATGTAACTTATGTACAGAGCTGGTTCAGTGACAAATCCAGAAAAAAAAGAACCAGGTCTCTGAAGCTTGGAACAAAGTTCTTTTTTTTTTTTTTTTTACCAGATGTAATAATCATAGTTTGTATACTACTCATATTCATTAAAAGTCTCCTCCTCGTACAGCCAGCATGGCTCAGTGGTTGAGTATTGACTTATGAACCAGGTGGTCACAGTTCAATTCCCGGTCAAGGCACATGGCCGGGTTTAGGCTCCATCCCCAGTAGGGGGCACGTAGGAGGCAGCCGAGTGATTCTCCTCTTTCTTTCTCTCTCTCTCTCTCTCTCTCTCTATCTCTCTCTCTCTCTCTCTCTCTCTCTCTTTCTCTCTTCATCCCTGAAATCAATAAAAATATTTTTTAAATTAAAAAAAATAAAAGTTTCTTCACATATGGCTAGAGTTCTTCTAGCCCCTGCTTTTGAGAAAATAATGGGATAAGTGCATTTAAACTTGTGCATCTCATTGACTGGAACTGAAATTCTAGGTCTTAGTATAACAAGGCTTTTTCTATTTCCAGCTTTTTGATAACAAGCAATAAGGAATATTTGCAATTCCCACATGCTTAATTTATGCTCGTACTTGAAGATTTTCTGGGAGGCATCACTATAATGTACTGGGATCTGTATCTGCTCCTCGCTCTTGATAGAATTTTGACCCACTGGCTCTCTTGGACCCAGGCCAGAGGGGTTTAGGTACCAAAGATTCCTCATTAAAACCTAGTTCCACATATCCCCTGACAGGTAGTGTGTGGACAGCACTACCGTGAACACTGGCCCCTGTAATTACTGTCTCCCTCACTTTCAATCACTCCTGAGCTACAGAAATAGGACATTATTCCGCAGCATTCCCAACATAATGAACTTTAGACAGCTGGCAGCTGTCATATTAAAATGGAGAAAAGAAAGAAAACTCAGTCATCGGAGGAAACCCTTGGTAATGCTGGTTTTGAAGGGCAGTGCTCTCACAGGGTCCTGGTACAATAGCATGTTTGCTTTTTTACATAGGCTTTTTTTGTTAAGAATAGTTATTGATTTTTAGAGAGAGAAGAAGGGAGAGAAACATCGATGTGAGAACACAACATGGATTGGCTGTCTCCTGCACACCCCCCACCTCCTGCACATCCCCACCAGGGATCAACCTGGCATGTGCCTTGACAGGGAATTGAACCAGCAATCCCTTGGTGCATGGGTTGATGCCCAACCAACTTAGCGACCCCAGCCAGGTCTACATGGGTTTTTAAACGTTATGGGCTATGTGGTCTGGCCCACATAACTCAGGTCAGGTCATAGTGCAAGGGTGGGCAAACTTTTTGACTCGAGGGCCACAATGGGTTCTTAAACTGGACCGGAGGGCCGGAACAAAAGCATGGATGGAGTGTTTGTGTGAACTAATATAAATTCAAAGTAAACATCATTACATAAAAGGGTACGGTCTTTTTTTTTTTTTAGTTTTATTCATTTCAAACGGGCCGGATCCGGCCCGCGGGCCGTAGTTTGCCCACGGCTGTCATAGTGAATCATTCTACACCCAGGTTCTTTGGAACAAAATGATTGTATGTCTGGAAAAGTACAGCTACTTGTTTCTGATGGAATTTTCTGGGAGGAAAAGAATCCTGGAAACTCCCAGGACTCAGTGAGCATAAATGTCACTGCTTCGCTGTTCCAGGTCAGCAGCACCTGGTTATTTGTCCATGTTGGTCCCTTAGTCCCTGCCTCATGAAGTAAGAGATGGGTTGCTGTTGATACTGACTGTTATATCTCGTGGCTCCTATATGCAATTCGGGATGTCCTGAAGTGGCTCCCAGAATGGTGGTCTCAGCCTGCAAGCCCGGCAGAAACCTTCCTGACACTAAGGAGGTCACAGGCTTGGGGCTCGTTGATGAGACAATGTGGCAAGGATTTTTTTTTTAACCACTTCAGTAAAATATTCATCCTCTGTGGTTTCCAGATTCTACTAGGTTTACTACCATTTTAGATAGCTTGCCTCGCCTAAGTGATGACTTCAAGGCTGGCCACTTTAATAGAATTAGGTGCAGCCACAGAGAATTGTGCTGAGATTAATGGTGTAAACATCGCCGGTTTGTCTCTGGGTTGATTTGGCAGCATTATCTTTCCTTCATTAGCCCCGCCAAGTTCATTGGTTAATTTGATCATTTTTCTGTCTCCACAGTTCCTACTGACTATAGCTATTTGCCTGAAAGCAGTTTTATTAGAGCAGCCATTGGCTTCTTCGTTACGGGAGGAAAAAAAGGCAAGTAAACACATTTCTCAAGTTTTATCCTTCCTTCTGCATATTAAGTAAGGAGTGTGCCCTGAGCATGCTTCCGTCTAAGTAAACAGCACAAGTCTGAAGGGGCAATGATTATCTTCCTCTAGAGCAGTGGTTCTCAACCTTCCTAATGCCGTGACCCTTTAATACAGTTCCTCATGTTGTGGTGACCCCCAACCATAAAATTATTTTCGTTGCTACTTCATAACTGTAATTTTGCTACTGTTATGAATCGTAATGTAAATATCTGATATGCAGGATGTATTTTCATTGTTACAAATTGAACATAATTAAAGCATAGTGATTAATCACAAAAACAATATGTAATTATATATGTGTTTTCCGATGGTCTTAGGCTACCCCTGTGAAAGGGTCGTTCGACCCCCAAAGGGGTCGCAACCCACAGGTTGAGAACCGCTGCTCTAGAGCATCTTTGCAATAGTGAGGACGGGGATCCCAACTACAGTAAGTGGCACAGAAAGCACACACGGTGCAGAGTCTCCCGGAATCACCGTGTCTGACCTGGTGGGGTGAGAGGAAGGGGTGCTCTGTGAAGACCTTTCTTCATCTTCCATCCGGTGATTTCAAAGGAACAAGCACACATTACTTTCCTGTCAGTTTCAAGTGAGTGTCACCTAGAGAGAGGAAACAGGCCTGGGTGCCATGTGTGTTTCAGGACCTGAGTGGGAAGTGGGTCTTCCCCTGAACCTTGTATGATCACCCTGTGTTGTTGGAATCACTGGCTCTAGCTTTTATTTTTAGCTCATGTTCTTTTTCTCTGCAAACATTTGTCCTTTGGGATTCTTTCTTCCTGTCGCCCAAATTAGAGCACAGGCAATCTGAACACGGAGATTGAGTGCCTTTTGTATTAACTGGAGCCAAAAGAATGCCATCTAAGTTATTAAATAAATACTCTTTAATGATACACATACTGTTCAGTGCTGCGGGGAGAAAATGGATTCGAACTGAACACGTCACAGCTCAGGAACTAGTTTCATTCATGTAGTAACCCTCCACTGGTGTTTGCTGGTTCCATTCTTCCTTGGGCAGGGTAGGTCAGTCTGGGTGAAGCCGGTGCCTGTATCACAAGGCCATCTCGATTTTAGGGGGAAAGGTTTTAAACAAATGAACATGAAGAAATCTGAAGGAAGCGAGTTTGATTCATGAAGATGTGGAAGAATAAAATCTTAACCATTGAAAGGGATGGTAAAGGTCACGTCATCTGATTTCCCACTGGGTCCAGAAACCCCTGGCGCTTCCAGATTAGACACTCCCTTCAGAGCTTGGAGATGAATTCCTTTAGTTTCTGCAGTTGTAGAAATTGTGCTGTTCTCCTAGGGTCCTGAGTTAGCATGATTTGCTTTCACGGGTCCTCAATGGAAACTGATACATGGTTATGTCATTGTTGTACATAATACAGTTATATCTAAACATGTCATATATTACTCATAATGCAAAGTTCATTTTTTAAAGCACCATCTATCAAGTCTATATGAAGTACATATGCTAATAAAGGTGTCTTCAGAAGTAAAAAATTAAATTTTTACTAACGGAGCATCTAAAATTTCCATGGCTAGGATAATTCCAGGGATATATATTTTTGCTCAATTTTTTGTCTAGTCGCTCCCTGATAGCTTATAAAATTTTTAAATGGTGATAATGTGAGATAATTTCCATGAGAGAAAAAAAAATCCTTAAGGTCAAATGAAAGATAGATTCTTTCCCAGTGAATAAAATGTCATTTGGCTTCCCAGAGCCATAGTTCTTGGCAGAAATGAATTTTCTCCAAAGCCTGTGGGACCTTCTTAGTTGAACGTAATGTTTATGATGATGCAGTCATGGCACAACAGGGAGCGTTCGCTCCAAACCTGAGAAGCCAGGGGGCTGCCCTCGGCGACGTCATTGCAGCCTTCCTGAACGCTGTTTTGAAACAGATAAATGAAGTATGAAAAAAGGCCCTATTACCAGTCAGATTGTTGGCGCTTTCAGGTTGTGGGAGAGGGCTGCCTTCCTGTCAGGTTTGCTGACTAGATTCAGAGCAAAATCTATTCAGCCTCACACATTACTAATGATGACCCCGAGGAGTGGGGGCCGTGGGAGGCTGACCTCAGTCTCCGAAGCCCATTTACAAAAACAAAACCAGGCCCTGCTCTCGGGGACTGAAGGGGTGGCCCAGTGTGGAGGTGTGCATGCAAACGACTGTTTCTTCTTCAATATGCCCAGCTCATTTGAATTTTAATAACTCCCTTCTGAAGCAGCTTTTGAGTTGAAATGTCTAGATGTCATCCCCCAGAGCCCAGTGGAGCTGCTGATGGGAAGGATGACAACTTTGGTGAGCTCTTTTGAGGAAGAAATGGCTCTCGTGGATAAAAATCATGCTTGGTACAGGCAGAAGACGGCCAGCTGTAGGGAGAGCGTGGCTCCTTTGCCTCTGTGTGCCATTTGCTAGCTCACATGAGGAAGACCAATGGGATGAGTTAACCCTGTGCCACACTCATGCCAGGAGATTGGGCATCATGATCTCAATTTTAGGCAGTCAAATTTGAGAGGGCGAATCTATTCATCTGCTTTCTGATGCTTAGGGCTCTTCTCACTTTAATACTCATGCAATAGAACATACAAGATGTTCATAGAATCCTATCTGTTCATAGTAGGCCTACATTTTAAAACCATAACAAATAGATTAAATCCCTTCTAGTTATTAAAGACTTCAGTTAATAATTTTCAATATAACTTTTTTTGCTATATCTGGTAACATTCTCTTTTCTTCCCTAATAGCTCTGACCTTCTTCTAGCAGATGTATTATTCCTTGTTCTTTGTCCTTATCTATTCCTATGGACTTTCCTTGACTATGCTAGGCTTAAAATTTGTTTTTAATTTTTAAGTCTTCCTATCATGGAATCATTTTTTCCCCTTAAGGAACTTTAAATTTTGACTCTTATTTTGCTTCTTTTCAATTCATTTATTCTTTTTTTCTGACTTCTGATATTTTGTAGTTTTTTCCAACCTCATTGCATTTTCAGATTTCAAGATTTCATTTACTTTTTTTATAAAACATTTTAAATGCCTCCACTGGGCATAACTGCCTTGCTCTCAGGCCCTGGTCTCCGCTGGGCAGCCACCTGCTTGGCACTCCTCCCGTGCTGAGGGGCCCAGGGGTGTTTGTTTCTGATGACTCCGAATGTGGCTGAGGTGCTTGGCCTTAAGACAGAACATCCTACCAGCTCTTGGTATCTGACTGACATGTGAGAATCATGCTGTTTCCAATGACTGTCCTAACAATGGAGGCGTTTCTGGCAGGGCGCTGAGCACCTCCTAGCCCACAGAGGCGCCTGCGGTGACTGCCCGACCTTGTTTTCTGAGGACTTTGGAAAATTTCTGCTCACCGTTTTCATCTTGATTTAAACATCCGTTCCTCAGTGAGGGAAGAGAGAGGAGTCCCTGGTGGTCCCAGATCACTTTAGCTTTCTCACGTGGTGTCTTTCTGTGTGCTTTTCATACTACTTTGTATATGCGTAATGGTTTGCTTAATTCTTTATGGGGTTTTTGTTTAAAGTCTGTCTTTCGCCTCAAATTGTAATTTCATCAAGGGCAGGAAGAGCACCTGTGTTTCACCCTAAATGCTTAGAGAGGAGTACTTGGCAAGTAATCGTTTTCCAATTTTTGTTGATCCACAGCTTTAAGCATGTACATGGGAATAGATCATTCTAAGCTAAGTCACTGCTAAGCAACTCTGAAGATGGAGAAAGTAAAGACATCTCCACACTACTCAGCCACACGCTCGTGATGGGAGTGTGTGTATCACCGGCTGTTAGCCTGCGTGTTGCCAGACTTGACCAAAGGGCTTACACACGTGCACTGTGTAGGGCTTACACACATGCACTATGGCACCGAGCTCTGAAATCCGTGTAGCCAGGGTATGTGTGGTAATGGTTTCCGTTGTAATGCATTATGTTCCGATATGCCATTTGTATCAGGGTTCTTTGAAGCCTTCAACTGGATGAGAGAGTTAAAGCAACTTTGTATCTGGATTTTAAAACATCTGGATCCTTTTAACAAGCACTGTTAGGTCTCCTCAGTCCCAAATCCGTTGTCTATAAAGCACTTCAGTATTTCCTTTTATCTGAGGCACTTGCTTGAAAGGCAAACACTGTAATAAGGGAGCCAGCCATTCCCAGGGCTGAGATTTGGATTCTCGTGTGCAGTGCTAAAGATCTCTGGGGAGGAAGCCACGTGACTTCATTCTCCCCAGGCCTGGGGACCCGCTCTCTGCCCTTACATCCCCCCACATGCATGGGGCTGTCGGGTATTTTCTTCATTCCTAGCAGTTACTATAATTTCTTTCATTCCAGGTAGGGCCAGACTTAGTTCCCTGCAAGGATGGTGGGACGTTTTGTGTGAATCTAGTTATGCTATTAGGTACTGATTCTCTGCCCTTTAGCGGTGGAAGATTTATTGTGTTATAGTATTTTTTTGGTTTTCAACCCTGTGCTACATTTTACAAGTTCTCCTGGTTTCCAACACTTGGTTATATATCAGATCAATGCTAAAGAACATAGAACAACATGGAAAGTGTACAGTAGAAGGCAGTTATTGGCCAAAGTTCTCTTGTCCTGTCAAGAGAGAGCTCATTGTCTCAGCAATAAAACATCTGGAAAATGGTCATATTTCACACGGGTTCCTGGTATAGGAGGCAGGTTCAGTGTCTTCCCCGATTCCCTAGGTCCTCTGGAAACTGCAAAAATTGTATAATGAAGTCTGTAGAAGGACCTGGAGTAAAATTTTATGTGATTTTGAAAACAGTTGATCTAAGAAAGAAAATTAATAGAAATCTGCTTACAAATTAATGATACCTAAATAGAATTCTATGCAAGTCCTTAAAAGGAGAGAAAAAAAGTAATTCTGTGTAGATATTTACTCCCGTCTCCCTGTGCCCCTTCTCCCCAAGCCCCCCACCCCCCCCTGCCAGTCCCT